GGGCTAAAATCACTCTAGGCGCAGACGATAAGGTTTTTGACGATTTTTTTCTGTAAGTACATGCAATGATGAGAATTTTGCCGCCTCGTTTACCTTTCTGCACCTTTCTGAACCGGACTTACGATTTTTTGAAAACTGGCCTATTTTGAACTTTGACCGAGAATAACTCGAGAACGAAAAGTCGTAGCGACCTCCAGTTTGCGCCAAAAATTTTCTTTCTTCATTACCTTTCCAACGATGTATCACATGAGGGGGGGGGGGTTACCATTTGAAAATTTCGAGTTAGTGTGCGCCTCTCGCGGGGGGAGCGCCCCCCCCCCAAAAAAAAATTTTTGGATGTGCCAAAAAGTAGCTCTTATCAATCTAGGAACATCCCCAAAATTTCGTTTCGATACAAGCATNGGGGTAGGGGACTTCTCGCTCACCCTGTTTAGTATCAGCATCTCATTATCCGCATTCGCAACTTTCTAGCGCGATTGCATTTTCCAAAATTGCTAACATCACCAAGATGAGAAGTCGGTAAAATCACTTAAGTGCCTTGCGGGACCTCTTAACCTTTAGCTACGACCCTGAGAGTTTTTGTGATTTTTTTGCTAATCACGGAGACGTTTTAGCAAGTTTATCGATTGGATTTCACCGACCAAAATGGGACACCCATGANGGGGGGGGGGGGGGGGGGGGCAACAATTACATAATCTCGATAAGTGTTTTCCACCTAAAACCTCAAAATGTCATTTCAGGTCAAGGTTTTCCTTGGCTCCCACGCTTCAAAACTATGAGGACCATATGGAAACTTAATTTTGGTTACACTCCCCCTTCGGTTTGGCCAACGCAACGAGCTAATTAGTGAAGCTAGTTTGCTTGCCTGAACTGCGTACACGAGGAGCAGGGGTTCGTTTCGGAATGAAATATTTATCCCTGAACGCTATGCATTCTAACGAATGTTTTTCATTGGATAGGTACACACAGTTTTACGGAAGTATTTTCAAGAACTTTCATAGAAGATGTCAAACAAAATCACTAGAATTTTCGACGCGATTTTTCGTTCTTTAATTTTCTTAACGTTCAGCGTAAAATGACTACGCGGGTCAAGTTTCTGAATCGCTACATGCAACTAAGATGATTCGATGGCCGCCATATTTTGTGTCAGAACGGCATGCGATATATCGCATCAATTGGTTCAATTTTTTCAGCTACTCGTCATTTTTCTCCAATTTTGAGATCGCAATTCTGTTGTCAGGAGACTAAAGCACTCACTTACCAATTTTAACAAAGAAATTCAACGTAATAAAGGCGTGGTTTTTTCAGAGAGAAAACATCGCATTCGATACAGATATCGAAACTGCACTCGAATGTGATATTTTCTCTCTAAAAACAGCACGCCTTTATCACCTTGAATTTCTTTGTTAAAATTGGTAAGTGAGTGCTTTAGTCTCCTGACAACAGAATTGCGATCTCAAAATTGGACAAAAATGAAGAGTAGCTGAAATAATTGAACCAATTGATCCGATATATCGCATGCCGTTCTGACACAAAATATGGCGTCCATTGAATCACCTTAAAATAAAAATGTTCCCTTTTATATCGTGAAAACCGGGAAGAGAAAAAAGCGCTATTCATGGTTTCCAGTAAAATACCGGACAATTTCGACGCCATAATTTCGTTCATTACTTTCATATAAAAAAGCATAAAAAAGAAAAATCGTTTGAACCCTGAATCGTTGCAATTGAGATACATATTTACTCTTTAATTACACCGCCCTGCGTTTTCTTGGTCATGTCGTGTTGCAAAGCATGTCTTGATTGATTCTTATGTATTTTTTAGCGCTAAATTCGGGAAAAATATCCAAAAAATTACACCACGTCAGCTTTTTCCGCAAATTCAAAATTTTGGTTTTCAGGGGGGAAATTTCCAAAAAATTGATTTTTTTCTATTCGACCATGGATTTTGGTCTGAAGTATCTCTATCAAGTATGAAACAACCATAGCACGTCAAAAGAAAGGCTAAAAGAGTGATGCTTGTCCAAATTTCGTCAAATTTTATGCATTTCTAGGTGATTTTTATCTGCCAAAAAATCGTTTCCCGGTCAAAATTTTTTTAAAAAAAAGGTGCGACTCGAAAAACACTTAAACCCCCTTAATTTACTTCTGTTGGTACCCACGAATCACCAGCAAAAGTAAACACAAGTTTCTAAAATATTGGAAATAGGGGAGCGGCTCGAAGATGTCATGAGAGCTCCACGCAGCTCGCGGCTTCTTCCCGCCGCACCGTGTTGCAGGTTCCGACTGATCTGAGTTTCACACACGTTTTTGATACCTCGACGCTTTTTTACAAGTTTCAACTTGTCTAGCGTTCTATTATGAGTTAAGTAGAATTTTATTCTTACTGTCGAATTGAAAAAAAAAACAATTTTTTGGAAATTTCCACCCTGAAAACCAAAATTTTGAAGTAGCGGAAAATGCTGACGTGGTGGAAATTTTTTGGATAAGAATCAATCAAGACATGGCATGCAACACGACAGGACCAAAAAGACGCAGGGCTGTGTCATGGTAAAAACCGGGGAGAAAGGCAAGAATTATGATACGTAGTCCCAGTTTAACGTCGCGCAACTTGAGCGTCGCGCAAACCTGCAAGATTGGATCGCGGCTGAGTCATGCATAGCCGCAGTGCGAAGTGCCTTCAATACAGCTGGCGGCAATATATCCACACCCGTGGTCGAATTGTTATCTCGTTACGCTTGCCGCGATTAAATTCAAATATAGGCGGCTGCACTTGCGGATTATTCCCCAACTCACGCTTCAGTCGTTATTTAAGTACAATAAATTTCTATATTCATCAACAGAAGAATAATCCACAGCTAAAATGTCAAGAATTTTCGCACAATCAAACCATACAGAAAAAAAAGGAGGGGTTTGCATTTCGGGCATCTTGGAATTTTCTTAATGACGTAGGTCGGCACAACAAATTTTATCATCGATTTTCTTGGAAATGGTGTAATTTATGGAAAAAAGTCATTCTTTAAATAGTGCTTGAAATTATATCACGAGTTGATTTAAGCAAAAAAATGGGACATTATGGTCCGTTCTTCATACTTCGAATTCCGGATTTCGCTGGCCAGGTTGTACCGACCTACGTCATAGGGTAAACAAACCTCAAGATGCAAACACCTTTTTTTTTCTCTATGCAATCAAACGTAAATCTGACGACTGTACTTTACTGTAAGCGAAACGATTTCGGAATGATATCTTGGAGGGTTGCAATATGATGTTGTAAGCCGTAGCTGTCATCCATTTAATTGGGACTAGCACCAATAGGAGCGAAGCTGCAGAAGGATCGACGGAAGTCACCGGAGCAAAGAATTATTGCATGACTAAAATGAACCTATTTAGCGCTGAAAAGTAACCTAGCTCTAGGTATGATTCTTCCTTTATCACAGAGACTTGCTGTTTAGTGGACCTATACATATGAAATTATGAGCCAAATGTTGAAGGAGTCATTGAAGGGTGGAGATGAGTTACAGAGAGAAAAAAGAGAAGGAAAATAGTAGAAGGGAATGAATGGGTGTGTTATTCCTTTCAAATAAAATTCTAACAGTAGGTGCACTTATCGATCGAATTTCATTTTAGTGGGGACATATATTTTCATAACTTAAAACCTATTCAGAAAAGTATTGTTCATATCGTAGACTGAGGGACGTAGACGAAAGTTAGCAAGAGATATATGATGAATATGTAAACCGAAAAAGATGTTGTAATCTTTGAAATAGGGCGGACAGCGGCGTATGATAATTACAAGTTGCGTTAGCGTATTTTTTCTAGTCTCATCAACACAATTAGCATTATTAGAAAATTGCTTACCTCTGAACGACTTCGGTAAAGATGTTCGCTGGGTTCGTACTTTCACTTCGGACCCTTACATAGAGCTGCGTCTTCACCTTTTCTACATCCTCCAAGAGCTCCTGGGATGGACAGACGTCGGAACTGGCACTATGTGGACGATTCAGCACCACTGACCCGCGGCTTTCCTCACCATCATTGGGCCACACAATTTTTGCCGTGGCTTCGCACTTTTTTGATTTGCACTTTAAATACCAAACAAGACCGGCCTTTTGCTTGATGACAAACGCACGGTCCGGCTGAAGCATATAATACTTCGCGTTATTTCCGGAGGACACGATAGTTTTAATCTCGGTGATCGGCGGATCCATGTCGACGTAATAAAAAAGAAAATCGAACAAAAGTGTAAGCGCACACAAGAAGCAGTCACTGTCACAAAATCACTCTATGAAGCAAACGAAACCACCGTCCACAAACACTTCCGGCACGAGGTAGCGCACGATCCGTTGCTAAGGGCTGACTGACCGACTGACCGACCGCGAAAGAGGAGCTCTCTACTGGGGGATGCAAATCAGTGCTGCGAAGGGGTGGGAGGGCGCCACCTACAAATCAGTGCCCGAGATGGGTTACGAGTGGCGGGCGTGGCGACATGACTGGGGAATTTTGGGTGTACGCGGGAAGTCCGTTAGGTGCAATTACGAGGGGGAGGGACCTCCAATGCCCGTTCTACTGAGATATGTTGGGCATTTTAAATGTCTTTTACATAAAGAAACTTTGCAGGTTTTTGCTTCCTGCAGATCATGCAGTCATAAATTTTAAGCCGTACGCCAATGCCCTAGAGGCCAAGGCACAATGTCCTTTGCAAAGAGAGTAGCGCAGCGGGTCGTTCTACGTCCATAACAACATTCGTTCACGGAGATATATGTTGAAAATATGAAAATGGGAATATCTTTGCTTGTCAACCATTGGGAAGATTGCAAGTATACATTTTCGAAAAAAAGGGTAAAATTGCGAAAGTAGATCGTTAATACAGCTGATCTTGAAAAGTAACCAGCAACTGCTGTGAATGTACCTAAGTACAGGTATAAGTTGATGTAGAGATGCAGATGGTTTCCTATTCATTGCTTCCTTTGTTCTGCAATTTAGGTAATTGCCAAAAAATATTGTTCAGTGATTCCATGGGGGGCGATAAACTTGCTGCTGTAGGTAGCTGTTGAATTTTTGGAATATTTGGCGAGAAGTTAGCACAACAAATCGGTCCAATACCTCAAATTTGTGAACCTAAAGAGCAGTTATTGGCGGCTACTCAATGGATGCACTCCCCCGAAAACAGCAGCTGCTTATCGGTGTCACTTTCCCGATCGCGAAATATTGTAGGAATCTCCCGTAGCTTCCTAAAAGTTTACATGCTTAGAGTGGTCACTCTTTAGATTACAATGATCCCAGTAGGGCACATGGGTACGTGATCACATGAATATGGTTTCAAGGGAAAGACAAAATTCACCGCGGTTACAAAATCATTTATCACCATTCAACCACTAGGTATATTGGCACTTCGGAAGTACCAATTAAAGTTTTTAAGATCGTATTATCATACAGTACAGCGTAGTGAAGAAAAAATCGAATGAGAAGGGTATGTGGAGTGGAGTGTTGCCATAGATTGTGGGCAGTGTAATAACTATACGTATAGGTGTCGGTCCGGTACAGTGGGGTACCTATTTAACCTAGAATCAAAGATTTTGATGAAATGGCGCTGCTGGAACAAGAGGAAGCAAGCCACCTCTGTCATTGCCAATACTTTCATCGGATGATTTATCACGTTACGGGAGAGCGCCTGTAAGGATTTTGATGAAAATTCATGGAATTTGCCTCACGTCACAAAAGCAAATACCTATCTCCTGAATTTATTAAGAAAATCTATATTAACATTCTCCCGTTAAAAAAATGTATTTCCCAATGAAATTTGGCAATGCCTACTGTGACTTCGCTTCTATTTGCTCATTACACTCCAATTTTTAATAACCATGCGAAGCAATAGGCGTGCCAGGATAGAAATGAGAGACAAATAAATGTCGCACGACAAGAAGTATAGCAGTTCGAAATTTAGGATTGACACTAGTTGCTAAGAAACGGACAAGTCCGATTTCCATCAGAGATGATGGGCAATGGTTAACTGAAATTTTCTCACTCACCCAATTTTAACGGGTGGAGAAAGGGGGGGGGGGTTTAGCTCGTCCTCTGGCTAAATGTAAAGCGCATAGCGACGGTGTAATGCCGGAATCACATATCTCGGGTTAAAACGTTGGAGACTTCTATCTTGCCACACTTCATCATTTACCTCGATAGGTACTCATGTCAAATCATTAGAAATTTCCGTGATTTTTCTATGTGCGAAGCATATTCTGAGAAAAATTTCAAGGAATGATGTTGATTTGTCTTTCTTTAGCGAATATTGGTGTAACCACGCATTCGTATCTTCCGCCTGAGTCGACACATTCACATTACATAAGAAATACAATCATTTTCGACCGGCTAGGATTCGTTTGTAGAAAAGCCTTTTCTGAAGGAGTTATTTCAACCCTTCCCAGTTCCCCTCCACCTTCCCTTGTAACGTTACATACGCTCTTAAGTTAAACTTTGATCGATTTTGGGGCATTTTATGAGAGTTCTTGAAGGTCCCCCCCCCCATTTATACTCATCTGCATGAGAAACCTTAGTCCCCCCCCTCCCCCCAGTAAAATTGGTGGTTGGTGGCTCCCGTTCAACCAATTAAGGGTCCTGTCATATTATTGAATTTTATTATTACGCTATATAAAGCTGCTGTAACCACTCACTCTGCCCCCCCCCTCCCCGAGAAAAATTGGCCATTAAATTTGGTACACGCGAACCTAACTCGAGGAGGTGATCAAAATTATTCCGATTCCAATACGTTGGCCAGGACGGTGATAGGTCAAAATGTCCAAAGCAAAATGTCCAAAAGTCAAAATGTCCAAACCCTGAATGCCCAAAAATTTAAAAAGGCCAAATATTAGTAATGTCCAGCAGACAAATAAGTCCAAAAGTAGGCAAATGTCCAAACGTGAGGTTAGGCATAGGTTGAGTTGTCATTGGATTTTTTGGACCAAAAAGTTGCTACTTATGACCGAGAACATTGCCAAAGTTTCAAACCTCTATCTCAATCAGGAAAAAAGATACAGGGGTGGTAGGTGACTTTTGGATAACCCTGTACATTGACGTTGCTTAGAGCGATCGACTTGTGCTGCTGACACTGATTCGGACGAAGACATCTGAAAGCAGTCAGTATATATTTACTCTTTCCATTAATTTGGACATCGGCCTACTTTTGGACTTATTTATCTGGTGGACATTACTGATATTTGGCCTTTTCAGATTTTTAGGCATTCAGGGTTTGGACATTCTGACTTTTGGACATTTTATTTTGGACATTTTGACCTATTACCGGCCAGGACGCCCGCAAGAGCGAAAAGATGTTTCTCCGTATGGTAATGCATTGAAGAAATTCAAAAAGCCTGAAATGCTGTGTCGGCTCCTGTTCGATCGATATTTGTGAAACGCGATGTCTAGCGGTATTCTTCGACGGGAAACTCGAATTTTTGGTCAGATTTTCAAAATTTCAAAATCCAAGACGGCGGACGTTGCCAAAGCGGCGAAGATGTTATCTTTTCATTATTATTATTATTTTAAAAATTAATAGCTATGAGGGGCGGCTTGCAGAGCGTGTCGCAAGTTCATCGCGAAGTGAGTGAACTGGGGGTCCAGGGGCACTCCCCGGCTAGGCGTGACAGCTCGCATGGCGAGCTTATCACGGCTGGTTTTTAATAATCCATGCTGGAAATATAGTTATTGAAAATGTCATCGACTTTTGTACCATTACTCTAAATGGGAAATTTAATTTTGTTTTTATAACATTTTATATCATCGAGACTAAGTGAGGAACGCCGACTTTCTAACGGTAACCTAGAGAAATTATGGTTGTAGTTTCATTCATTTTTTGTCCACGCATTTGGATTGCGATGAAATGTTTTATTTACTGATAGAACTTCGTCTTACTAATGATAAGAAAGAGCCCCAATGAAGCCCTAGCCCTTCCATCCTCCTTTTCCCGTTATGTACTTACTTATCCTATTGTTGTAAATATTACCTATAAAAATTAGGAAGGATGTAACATAACCGGTGACAGTGTAGGCGGAACACGGCCACTAATTAATGTCTGATACCAAGGAATAAAAGTGGACTGAAAAAGTATATGGGAAATACCAGAAGTATGTCAAATTCTATCATGAGTCTCCTTGATTTTTGACAGAGATAGGTACTTTGGGGTGCAGAAAATTAAACATCTGGTGGCATTTACCATATCTACTTTTGTTGAATGCTGTTAATGTATTCTGCCGTGCTGAGGAAAACCGCCGTATGAACATTCGAAAGTTGCCAAATTTCCTTTGATGAAATGATTATTTGGAGGAAAATTATGAGTATTTTTCCTTGAAATTATCCGGAGCTTTAGATGAAAATACGAACAAAATTCTCTGAAAAATTGGGAGGAAAATATTCATAAGTTTACCAGGAAATTCGTGTTTTATTAAAGGAAATTTGGAAACGCCTAAAGGTTCATACAGCGTTCTTCCTTAGCACGGCAGTATTAGTCTTTAATACCATCGAGTCTGTTGGTGATTACCTACCGTTTCAATATTAATTATGTCAGCGTCGCTCACTTTGTTTTAAGATTGCAATCACATGGTTAAATATTGTTGCTTTGGTATTTGAGTGTTGTGTACGTTGCATATTGACTAAATGAAGGAGCTCCTCTGAAGTATTGAAATTTATTGCAAAAAAATTAAAATAAGCTGCAAAATTAGTTTTGCATTGCGAATTGCCTGGCGCTCTCAAAAATGGCAATCACTTACTTTATCGATCTTTAAAGTCGACATTTACCGACCAGATGATGTAAAATAAAATAAAAATTAAAAATAAAAAAGAAATTAAAATAAAAACCAGCAAACGGCGTTACATAGTGAAATTGGTAAATGAGACTCCACAATGAGAGTCTCATTGTTTTGTATTTTGGCCTTGTTTCCGCTTTTTCCTGTGTTTTCGATTGTGTACGTTAAATTGCAAACGTTTGCAATGTTTTTTTGCCACTCGGGCACTTAACAAGGTAAGGCAGTCACATTTCAAAATTCACTCCTTCAATTACATTTACATAAGGTTTCTTGGAAGAGGTGTACCTACGTAACGTAAAATACCTTAAAATATAGTGGGGGCGCGATACGATAATGTCTGGAAAATCGGGCGAGTGAATACCATAATCTCGTAAATGGCAACACAGCAACCCTTGAGCCGCGCGTCAGCACGCTCGAGATGCCCTATTGACTCGCGCCTACCTGAATCTGACTCTCGCCTCGAGGAGTCGAGGACTAGCCAACTAAAGTGAAATTTTTTTATTTTTTCAAAAGAAGTTTTTACAGCTCACATTGTAAGATTCGAGGTGATATTATTGGTCAAACTGAGGAGAATAAATGATTCTGCGGTATAATAAGATTTATACTCCTACTGCTGGATTTGCAACTTGCAAAGCGGCATCTCCGTTGTATATCAACATATCATAGGGGAGTCTGATTCATTATAATGTCCTTTTTTTTTTTTTTTTTTTTTTTTTTTTTTTTTTTTTCTTAGCAGAATGTAAGTTCACTAAGAAAGTTAAAATCGAAGCAGATCATAAAAATTTCATTAATTTTTTTTTGGGGCTCCAGTAGGCTAGAGGGAAAGGTGACGGATTAAGATCCATCGATGTCGTGCGGTCTATGGTTCAAAAGGAGACCGGCATTCGGCCGCGAATGGGTTGCGGTGGTGTCAGCGTGTGCCAGAAAAACCTCAGGTCCAGACATCATCGTGTGCAGAAATGCTATAAAAGAAATTTCATCGAATGAAATTTCTTTCGACCGACAAAATGTCAAACATTTTCTCTCAGATTCAAGGAAAAGTAAAATACCTACCTGCTTACTGATCTCAAAATCTATGACATCAAAGTTCAAAAATACGAGTACTCTACTTATGTATCGAATACTAGGGGGCCTGCCCCCTGACCGCTATGCGGCCCAACCCCCGGGAGGGCGCCTCGCGCCCTCAGGCTCGCTTCGCGGGCCCTATACACATATGTATAAGCAAAAATGTTCTTCCATTTTAATACACCATTTTGTGTTCGAGCTGCATCGATTTCAAAATTTTTGACGTAACACTCAGATTTGTAAATGATGAGGAATAGCTAGCTGGATGTACATAATTTCACAGTCCACTTACAGGAGATATTTACATTTATTATGTTATTTTTAAATACTTAATTTAAAAAAAAAAAATCGGATTTCGATGGTTAAGAGTTAATAATATTTGGTCCGTCCCGACGCGACGCAGCGCCTGCCTTGTCACTTTGTATCTGCTGTTTATCTGCTGTGAATATTCATAGAAATTCAGGAAAAATTGAGTTAAACCAAACCTCATACCTTGGACCTTGAACCTTGAACCCTGAGCGATGCACCGTTCCTCAACTCTTCGAATGAGGAGCCCTTCACGAGCTTTTCCATTGTTTTATTGTTGATTCGAGTCACTCAGGTAGAATCCCACACTTTGACGTTTCTAGCGGAAACGATATATCTCTCTCGCTATTAACATTGGACTTAAGTGACATGAGCTTTAAAAGCTCTACAACATTAAAAGTTCGGGGTTTCATAATTTTTTGCACATCTACATCCATTAGCTAAAGATATGACATACATGTAAAGATCATCCTTATCGGTCCGACAGTTCGTCAGAAATAGTGCTTCCAAGATTTTGCTTGTGGCTGTATAATATAGATTTCCTATTTAAAATAGAAATACGTTAGCGAAGGAAACTGTTAATTCCTGAAAAATCATTTAAATTGTTTCAAGTATAGTAATTTAAGATCCCTCCCTACCTTTTGTACCAAGAAATAAGGTGAAACTATTAGGGGGTACTAGAATTCTTTACAGTCGAGAAATTGGTTTTGTTCCAAATATGAAAGCTAACGTCTTACTTAAT